GGCACAACAATTGGTCTCTATTCACCTGGAGCAACAGAGGAAGAAGGAGATTCAGGTATAGGAGGAGAATATGGAATGTGTGGCTAATTGCCTCCATGAACAACTCTCTCCTTTGCCATGAGACCAGAAGAACTGGATGGTTCCTGGCTACCGTTCCTGAACATTTTGATCAAAAATTCTATATAAGAATTGCGATCAGAAGGGGAAAATGGAGAACAGAATTTCAAATTATCATGGATTCCAGACTTCCTAGAGCCGTGAAGGTTCGATGAACCCCTGAAACTGCTGCCCTGAGATGATCTTTTAAACCTTAAACTAAAAATATTCCTTGAAGTCTTCTTAAAATTAAACAATAGTTTAGCTTAACTAAACTAGTAAAAAAATCTACCTTGAGCATTACGCTTTTTAAGAACTATCTATATGGGATCAAAGTGACAACAGCAACTCAAAAGATTAGACAGGAAACTTAGGAGGCAGTGAATATATGTTAATGCAGGAGGAATAACTCAGAAAAGGAGGGTGAGAATGATTGCACAACTCAAAGAATGTAATCAATGTCACTAAATGGTACATGTAGAGACTATTGAACTGGTGTATGTTTTGCTGTGTATATTCTCAACAACAATAATATAATATATAAAATCTAATAAAAAAAATTAACGTGAATATTATGTAGTTAGTAATCCCTTAGGCTTCTCAGGGTAATGTTCATTGGTAATTGGAACAACAGAAGCACTGAAATCCAAAAATTATTTTAAAAATCTAATTTCTCAGAAAAACATCTACCAAAATGTTCATCAGGTAGCAAATTATTATCTGAGTTCCATCCACTTTTATGTAGCTTACCCATTCTCAAAAAGTTGCCATCCAAAGAACAGGACAAAAAGAGTACAAGCGGATAATCAACCTAAGAAGTTAAGAACTGCATGTATACAAAATAATACACAATCAAGGATCACCATTTTCCAGAAATTTCTATTCTATGTCTATTCCATGTCTATGACATTTCAGATAGGGTTCAACAAGAATTGAGGACAGTGAGACCATCAGGGCTTCCCATTATAGATTTTCAGCTCAAAACTCAGACAACTTAAATTAGATGCAACACTGTAATTATTACAGAAAACTGAATTAGAATTATCCTGGCATTCACCCATAAAAATATTCACCAAATCTATTTTAAAAATTGAAAACAGACCAGGGTCTATAAGCATATCTAGGACCCATCTTGGTATGCAGGTTTCATTCAAGCTAAATTTGCATTTATCCCTTAATCACAGAGCTGAACCAGTTATCAACCAAGAGGAAACAAATTAATTCTGAGTTCCTAAGGAAAGACTCTAGTAGATCTTATTTCTTACAGATAATAAAGCTGCAATCAACTAAGATAAAATAAGCACAAGATTCATTTTATGTTACCGGGACAATTCAACCAGGAAAAGTACATATCTGTGTATGAAGAACAGAAACACACACATATAGAATCTCTTGTGTCATTTACCTTCCAAAATAAAAGCAATGATTCTGAATTTCTTCTCCCCCACAGTGAAATAATTGAGAGCATACCCAGGATGCTAGGGCTCTACGTGCAAACAGGTAATGATCATACTGAGAGGGGATAACTGAGATCTGTCTATAGAAAGATGGATTGACACAGTGGCTGCAACTATGGCCTCAAGCATAACAACAATTGTGAGGATGGTGCAGGACCGGGCAGTGTTTCATTCTGTGGTACACAGGGAACAAGCTTGATGGCACCTAACAACAACAACATACAAAGCATTTTAAAAAGACACTCTATTAAAAAATACAGTAGCAAAAAATAAACTATAAGAGCAAACCTTACGGTTGAGCACAATGAACAACTGCCCGTGTGATATGATCTGGAATTAGACTATAAAGCCCTCCTGCTCCGAAATGCTTTTTCTATACATATCAAAAACTTATGCCTGGACTTCCATTATTTGAGAAGAATTCCTGTGGTTCCCAACATTGTCCTCTGTTAAAATACCATTATCTGTGATGAGTATTCATTAATTATTGAGGTCCCTTAGGGCACTGGGAACAAGTTTAATGGATAGGGCGTGGGGGTGGAGTAGAGAAAGAAAACGAAAATGACATCACTGCACTATCTTGTCAAAGGTAGGACAGTGCATCTGAAGGAACATTCAGGAAGGAGGCAGGAGACTAGAGTTGGAATCCATCTACCCAAGCTACCCATCAGGTTTCTCAACTGAAAAATAAGAAGATTGGATCAGATGATCTCTAGTTCCAAAATGCAATGATTTTCGTGAAGTAAGGCTAGAAGTCTAGGGTCAGCCATGAAGGACTAAGAAGTGAGGAAGCAAAATGTCACTAATGGTGACCATAAAACCACTGTGGAGAAAAGAGGGACACCGCTAAAGAAACTGTCTCCACAATTGCAATTATACCAAAGATTAACCAAACGTGTTAAAAGCAGTTCTACAGTGAATGACTCAGGCGTAAAGGTACCATAAATAGTAACAGAGAAAGGAGAATCCTAGATTGATATTTCGTCACTGCTTTCCTCAAATCTGGATTTAAAAAAAAAAAGAAAACTAGTTTTGCCCAAGTAAATCTTGTCCTTAAAACTAAAAGGATGGTTAACAGTATTGATGGATTTCCTGGCTAATGCAAAAAGCTGACTTTTATGTTTTCTGTCAAGAGCAGTATCATGGAAAAGATTACAGTAAAATTCACTCCTCCACACAACAGATATTTATCTGGTACCTAGTACATTCATCTGCTGGACGCTGGAAAAGATATAATGACGAAAAGGCATCTCTGTTCTTAACCTTCCACCACCCATCTGTCAGTTTATTGTACCTTGGTGGCTTGCGTGTTGCTATGATGCTGTAAGTTGTGCCACCATTATTTCAAATACCAGCAGGGTTACTCATGGTGGACAGGTTTCAGCAGAGCTTCCAGATTAAGACAGACTAGAAAGAAAGATCTGGCAATCTTCTTCTGAAAATCAGCCAATGAAAACCTTATACATCCTAATAGAACTGTCTGACTTGCTTGCTTTGGACATATCGGGAAGGATCAATCATTGAAGGAGGACATAATATGTGGTGACATGAAGGGTCAATGAGGGCATGAAAGACCCTCAGTGAGATAAATTGGCACAGTAGCTGTAACAATGGATTTGAACATATTGGTGATTATGAGGATGACTCAGGACCAGGCAGTGTTTCGTTCTGTTACACACAAGGTCACCATGAGTTAAAGTTAACTTGATAGCATCTAACAACAACATTCTAAGCTTACAATCTTGTAAAGGATATATGACAAATACAGAAATAACTACAATGTGATATACTGCAGCTGGGCTAAGCAAAGGTTAGGGGTTTGGAGGAAGCGTTCAAGTTTTTGTTTTTATTTTTGAAAGATCACAGTTTCTTCACATATTCATTCATAGTAGCCAAAGTCAAGAATTTCTAAGGACACGTTTAGACACTTAGTAAAGAACAGCAGCTCCTGAACCATCTGCTTTGCTCCAAAATGAAGATCCATCACACACAAATTTTCATTTTATTCCAACCCTGTAAAACGATTATTGTTAGCTGGAGTAGGTAACATTTGGTTTATAACTGGCATGGCAAACAAATAATGCCTTATAAAATGGCTACAGTCAGTGCCTCTTTTGGGTGAAAAAAAATACAAACCATCACATGAGTCTGAACATCACTCACTTTCAACAAGTTCCTTTGATCCATTTAAGTGTCCTGTTACTAATCTCTCCTGATGAAGAAATTTGCAAAACACAGAATGTAAAGTGAACAACAGAACCTTGTTATAGCCACACAAAGAAACATTACAGAATACCCTGAAGATTTTTTTTTTTTTTTAAGGAAATCTCTTCCCAAACTCATCATTAAAAAACCACAGATTATATTAGTCCAACCCTGTATTGTTGCATTTTTACCTGGTAAGGAACAATACTGCCATGAGCTGTGCCCCAACGCTGTGCTTCCTTTTGGCCAATAAGATAATTAGCAGCTACCTGGGTCAAACATGCCACCTGCCAGAAGAAAAAAAAAAAAGAAAATGCTAGTTACCTGCAATGATAAACAGATAAACAGAATGTTGTAGTCTGAAAGTTCTCATTTTGTTTCACTTCATGTTACTGTAGGGAAGAGGGAAAAAAAAGAAAAACTGTCCAAACAGGTTAGAAAATATACAGGCATTCATACTATCAAATAAAGAAAGAGTAGCATTACATTATCGCAAGATACTAAGTAATGGTCAACTGAGGAATATAAGTATGTAAACATTCAGCTCCTTAAAAGATCATCAGAAGGCAAAGGTTGACCCAACAGATAGAAGCTTGCGCCAGCCAGCCTTCGGCATCAAAGCCACAGCAAAATGCATCTGCAGCTAGTACCCTCCATTCAACAAGCAAGTGAGCCAAAGCAAGAAACCACATTCCTATGTGCTTCTTGTTATATGAAAAATTAATAAATAAACCTCTATTTTTGTTTAAGTCAGGTTAGTCTGATTTTCTGTTACTTGCTGCCCAAAGCTTTCCAACTGACCCAGAGGATCAAGATCACTTATTTTTTTCTACTCATTATTGAATCATCCTCATTTAAACAAAAATTACTGTACATCTTCCAACTTGATCCTAGCCTCAAACCCCCCTCCCCATTATTGTATTCATTTCAGTTTTTGTGAACCATGGAGTTATTAAAAGGGTCATCCGAAACCTTAGTGTCAGCTTCTGAATTTTGCAGTATCTCATGAAAGGTTCTTGAAAACCTACAATAATTAACTCCACACAAGGATTAAAGTAATGATTCCTGGTGACTTGCCTCAATTTCCCAATATTTTCCCTGGATTTTTTTTTTTTTTTTAAGATTTAACCAAATATTCAAAATCATAGGTATTATTTTACATTTGCATTTTATAAAATATGTTCCTGGGAACAATAGTTCCAGTATAGAGCCTAGAGTAAAAGAGATTCATGGTCAAAAAAAAGTTTGTAAATGTTGCATATTATGTGTCTCCTGGGAATCACATTTTAAAGGACCTGAGATATCTAGATATACAGAAATCAATTTACCTTTTTTACTCCAGTATCTAAGCAATTAACTCTTTTTTCTGATAGCCCCTATTAGCATTTCATGGAACTAGAATTCTGAGATACACACTTTAGAAAAACTTGTTTACACAAAAAATAATGTTAACATTATAAAGAATCCTGATTTCCATAAAATCTGTATCCAAGTGTAGGGATGATGGACTAGTTAGGTTCAACAAACACTTAATGAGCCCCTATTCTGTGTACCTGGTTATAAGAACTGGGGATACAAAGATGAGTAAGACCAAAATCCCTGCCCACAAAGAGCTTAATGTTCAAAAGAATACCTATGCCTCCAAGGTCCAGAACTATGAGGCAATTGGAAAGGAGGGGACAAACTACAACTTTCCCTAAACCACCAAACAGTTGCCATTAAGTCAATTCCAACTCATGGTGACCCCATATGTTGCAGAGTAGAACTGTGCTCCATACGGTTTTCAAGGCAGATGGGAAGCAGATCAGCAGGATTTCCTTCCGAGGCACCTCTGGGTGGGTTCAAATCACCAACCTTTCAATTATTAGTCACTTGCTTAACTGTCTAAGTAACTCTCCATAGTTTCCAGGAAAAACATTTCTGGCCTTATGATATGATCATGATATAGCATGGGCTTGCGGATCCCATTCTATATCATCAGATGTTATTAGGAATCTACCAGGCCAGCAATCCAAACATAGCCCCAATTGAGATCAGCTCCTGGAACAATAAAGGGATGATTTTTCAGGGTTTGGTGCCTCACCCTGCCATTGCCCTCTACCTGACACAGTAATTCAGCCTGGATGAATCTCCTTGCACCAGCAACCATTCTCCATTACTTTGTTCTTGGGATTTACACTCACTTTTATGTGCATTTAGTGCTCTGTCAAAAATGGAACTGCCTCATGGCAGCTGGTTCGGCTGTACTGTCCAGGTGGCAAAACTAATAAACTTTGAATCATCCACTTCTGGACCTCCATCTGGTCTTGGGCATTTGAATCATGTAGCATTCCAGGGCTGCCTGGGGCTGCCTAGTGTTAATCACCATTTCACAGAGCACTTCTGTGTCTTTCAAAATGGAAAATCAAATCAACATTTTAGTAGTAAAAATATCCTAGATGGGAAGTCCAGATTCCGTTTCTAATTTCTGTCAACCTCTAAGCAGTTGTACAACTGCGGGCATGTAATATAACTTGTTTGCCCTTCAGATATATTCTCTATAAAATCTTAGGTATTTGAGTTAAACCAATGGTTTTTAAACCTTTTTTAAAAGTATAACTCTTTTTTTCAAATCAGATAATAATGAAACCCTATATATAAGCAGATAATAATCCCAAGTTATCTGGTTGAAGCAGAGGCAGGCCTGCAACCCAGTCCTGGTAGCATGTCCATAGAACACAATTTGCAAACTACCAAATGGTCCTAAATTTCCTTCCAAGGTCTACCCTTCTGATGCTATTATTCTTCTAACAGTGTGCCAGATCAAAAGACACAAAGGGATGCAATAGTAGACATTTTCCCACGAAGACTCTTCTTGAAATTGGGAAAATTTTCTAGAGTCTAAAGACCTTGTCTATAAGAGAGGTGTTTCTTTGATCTAGCTTTGTTATAGTTCTTTTTTCTTTCTATCAAATAAATCTTGGTGCCAGTCACTCCCTAAGGAGTGCTGGTGTGACTGGATACCAAGAACTCAAATTAATAAAGATAATTCTTTGCAACCAATTAAGCACAAGATGTGCGGTACCTCCATTTCTCTAATTTCATAGCCAACTGACAGTCGATATACCAACCTCTGCAAGGGCTGTATAAGGTAGTGGGATGGTTGATTAGAGATTAACCTGTAAACCCTAAATTGATCTGAGAAGGCTGTCAGGGACAGGAAAAACCTGGATTCTTGGCTAGAGATCATCCTGACTGCTTCAGTTCTTGCCTACTACTTCATTCTTCTCAGTTTTTGACTTCTGTGTTTCTGACCCTGCCATGATAAATTGTCTTTGACAACTATTTAATAAAAGTATATCATTTAGAGTGAGTTTGAATAAAGGGTCATATCTCTTCTTTCAGACTGTTTCTAAATGGAATACCATACACATTTCCTCCATATAGTGGTGACTCATGAAAATAAAAAGCATTTCAGAACAACTGGGTTCCCACCAAACAATAGGGTGTTAAATAAGATTTTAAGCCAGTTACCATCTAAAAACAAAGTGTGATTTGTCAGTAACTACTCAGAGGTAGAGTTCGAGGAGAAATAATTCTATTAAAAAAGGGGGGGGGGAAACAGGGTTAAACTTAGCAACCCGATGTTTAAAGGGAGCGTTACAAATCTGAAAGTAATCTACTGTTTACAAGGATGTATTTTAGCAGGAGAAGGGAAAGAAAGTCAACAGCTATGATGTGATTATGTATGAAAAATCAGAGGTTTCCTGGCAATTAATGACAAATTTTCCACAAATTAAAAGAATGCAGGATGTGACTTTTAGATTAATAACTACATACTGTATATGCATTCTAAATATTGCATTAGATCTTTACTTTCATCCCCTAAACTTAGGCTCATTATTTCATCAAGTGGACGCTATATAATTTACTCAGAATGTTGCCTTTGTATGGTCTCATCTAAACAAAAAAGCCAACTTTGGCTTAATAATAATTATTCTGACAGCAAAACTATTATTTTAGATAACATAGTGGGTCCTGATATTCTCTGTGCATAACCAGAAAACCTAAGGGGTGGCCAAAGCGAATCTCAAAGGGCACAGACCCAAAAGGATTGAGGAAGACTGTGCTCAATCATTTCCCAAAGCAGCCCCATGATGTCTGACACCACATGTTCTGCTCCCACCAAATGACGATCAAGCTGCAATAATAGTCTTTCATCTCCAAAAAGACAACCAAGTGTGACAGGTAAAATGGGAAAAACAAGACTAGAACTATGCTCCACTGCATCAAAGCAGGTGATTTTTTTTCCCCCTTCTGCCCTCTTGCATGCTATCTGGCCTCCAATTAAGTTGGACTAACCACCAATCATGCCTCCCTTCTACACCTGCCGCATCTCCACCCATTCTTCAAATTCCATTCCCATGTCATCTTTTCCATGAAGCCTGTTCCCCCATCACACAAGCAAGAAAATATTTTCCCTTCCTCTGAACAAATACAATACCTTAATTTTCCCGACTCCTGCTGCATTTTCACAGTCCGCCTTATATTACAATTAGAATTATAAGATGTCAAAGCAAAAAGGGCCTAGATCAGAGTCCTAAACCTGGCTGTGCATCACAATGAGCTGGGGAATTCCTGGACTTCCACCCCCAGACTGAATCAGCCTCTCAAGAGCCTGGAACACAAACATTTAACCAGTATACCACTAATTGCACACCAGGTTTAAGAACCAAAGCTTTAGGAAAGCCTAGTCAAACCCCTTAATTTTACAGGTGGATAAACAAAAAAACAGAGAAGGGAAATAACTTATTTGAGGTCACACAGCTGACTACTGGCAGAATTTTGTCCTATTCCAACTACAGTGCCTTCCCCCATGCTACAATATTATTTGTATCTTATCCTATCCTCCTTTTAAATTGGGAGCTATTTCAGGGTAAAAATTATGTCTTATAAACCCTTTGTATGTTCTCATAGCACGAAACACAGAGTCTGAACACTTTTTTTTTTTAATGAATGAATGAAAACAGTAATTACTACTTGTTTATTTATTCAACAAATACTTACTGAGTGCTGCTATTGTAAGGCATTATGCTAGTGGGTATACGTAAGTAAATAAAAAAGGCATAGTCCTGCCCTCTTTGGACTTAAGAATAGTGGAGAAGACAACTAAGCAAACAATTATAGGAACCTGCCATGGAGAGGAGATGGAGGAGAACTTTATAAACAAAGAAAAAAAAAAAACCACATGTGAATGCCCTAAGGCAGGAAAGAGCTAGGCACATAGGGGAAAAATAAAAGAAGGCCA